AGTTACCCAGAAGAGTGTCCTACAAGAGTGTCTCACGAGAGTGTCCCATAAGAGTGACCCACAAGAGTGTCCTACAAGAGTGTCCCAAAAGAGTGCCCCGCAAGAGCTTCCTGCAAGAGTGACCCGCAAGAGTGTCCCACAAGAGCGTCCCACAAGAGTGTCCTACAAGAGTTTCCCACAAGAGTGTCCCACATGTAGCTTTTCGAACGTGTTTGCATTCGGGTTCGTGGGCTCCATCTTGTTCTTCATCTTTAACACGATGTTGGTCTGAGACCTTTCGCCATCACGCTGATGTGTGCATGGCCAGCAAAGCTACTTTCACCTGGGTGTGTGCGTAATTGACACACACACATACTGCTGTGTATATAGTGTATATAGTTTCTTATTCGGCAAGACATTGAACCATTGTTTCGGTGGTCCTCCCTCTTCCAAGGTGCGCGCTCAAGTGGCCTTGGAGTGATGGGTGCCGGCGCCGTGGCTGCCTGTGCAGCTACTGCTGCTGCTGTTGTCAGGCAAACTGTGATTACACAAAGTAATTTTAGTCAGGAGTTAGTATCTCCATTTATTTCCATGAAATGTTAGCGGTCACTCACTTGTTGATGCATTGTTGTTGCGTACTTTACATGACTTTTGCTTGTGTGCTACTTTCGCTGTAGGACTAGGAATCAAAGAACGTTTGACAGGCCAGGGCGACCTGCCAAAGGCAGCCCTGGTAGGCATGTGGGCAGGCTTGGATTTGTTGCTGGTTGACGGGCGGTTGCCAACACTTTTGAGCAGTGAGTTGCTCCGAGGGCTTGAGAAACATTTTTCAAGAAGAGCTCAGGGTTTTTCCAAAGGCGTTCATTTTGCATGAAACCTCGACACAATCGGTTCTCGTGTTTCTTACCGCATTTGTACAGGACTGCAGCATCTGCACTCAACCCAGACAACTTCAGCGATGTTTGCGATCAGACTGGTGTCACCCTGAATCGCTACATGATTGAGGCTCAGCTGCGAAACAAGACGCAAGAAACATATGAGAGTTGCTGAAAAATAAGTTTGACAGTCACAAAGTGTAAACTAGAATGATCGCTCGCATAGTTTATTCACAAAATCTGACTGCCAGCTGCTCGAAGGCAAACCGACAAGGGGTTGTGGACACTGACATCCTTTCGGTAGCTGGCCTACTATTGCAGAATTACATGTGGCAATATGCACTTTTCAAAGGTACATGGTTGTACCGTATGTGTTACACATGAAATGCTGATGACTTTGAGGTCATGAACTCTATCCGGGAGGCTCGAGGTTTTAGTTTTCGTTCTTTTTCCGAGTTGTCGCTTGATTCTGCTGTATCAAAACAACTCCGTATATAATTGTAGTCTGTAGTCTTGGTCACTTGCTGTTGGTGGCCTCGACTTTTGTAAGGAGTTCTTTTGGTCCAACCACTCAGTAAACCACATGATCTCTTGACAGTGGGAAGCTTTGAAAAGGATTGATTTTAGGGAGGCAAGGCCTGGCAAAGCATTATTATTGAAGCTCCACTTGTTTTGAACTGTTGCTTTATTGCTTGAAGAGGCCACAAAAGTCATCTCTAAGCTGGTGAATACTGCTCCGTTGGCACAGGCTCGCTTGGCCATAGTCACCGTAGTCAATGAACATTCTGTCGAAGAAGCTGATGGCTAGAAAGCCGAGCAAGTTGAAGTATGCTATGATATAACTATGCTATGATATACTGTAACATTCGTGAGCGAAAGTCTTACAATACTATCCATTACTATCCTGGGGCAGCCCAATGATGCTGCGCGTACTCACTGGACAATCCTCTAGACAAATATGCATTGGGTTGGGCAGAGTAGCTGTGGCTGTGGCCAGTGAAGCCAGCTGCAGTCTCACCCATAAGAGGCACTCAAGAGGAGCAATGCTTTCGCTTTTTTGGTGTAGTTTATGTAAGAAGCACTCATGCACTAGGATGTCATGCATTCATCCAAGATGACACGCACAAACGAGAAGTGCATCTTACATCAGACCTTCTGTTGCTTGAGTGAAAGGGTTCGCATGGTAGTGGAGGCTGAGAAGCTCACCATTGGGTGAGTCGGGTTGATCGCCCAGTCCTACAGGCCTAGTTGATATTCACTTCGAAGCAGGATGGAGCGTGAGCTGGTTATGCGGATGATGGCCAACTCAAGACGTGGTTGCAACTCAACGCGGCAAAGTCACAGGTCTACAGCAAGCTTCGAGAAGCCACGGTGGAGTATGTCAACGGACCTTGAATGAAGCAGCGTGATGATTTTGGGCTCAAGTGCAGAAGGAGCAACGCCCGTGGAGGTAGATAGAGTGAAGGGCCAGAGGTTGAGGATCTCTGTCAAGGGTGGGAAAGTGGAGCAGGATGGAGGAGTGCGTGTACGCGCAAGAATCACTCACGCACGAGAGAAGTGTACTACCTGACGTAACACCTTTTTGCTTGAGTGGAAAGAGCTTCAAGAGAGAGAGAGAGAGAAGCCTTGGCTTCTGCTTTTCGGCGAGCACTCCCAGAAGGCTCCTTAGCCGCAGCTGTGACAGCTGTTTTTGCAGCTTTGGCAGCTGAAAGCGGCGCAGCGCAATGATAGCGAGCAACCTCAGCAGCTGAGAGTGGTGCTGAGTGTATTTCTTGTTGCGCTGGAGGAGCAAAACCTTCGGTAAACAGTTTTAGGCTCCTGTGGCTGGTTCAAAGCGTCCCCGACTGCACGTTGGACTGGGTCGATCTTTTCCGGCAAAAGGCGCGGAGCACATGTGACGCGGATGATCAGCCCATGCCGCTGGCCTTCTTCCTCTGATGACGATTCCATGCGCACTCAGGCCTCGATGTCAAAGCCTGGCACCGGATCGGGAAAACACCGGCTGGGGCACTCAGGCCCAAAGTCCGTGGTAGCAAAGCCTTCGCCGCGCCGGTCCAGCTGTGCAACGAGCGCCGCAAGCAAAGCGAGCTCTTCGGCAACCGCGACGCGTGGCGGTTTTACTGCGCGAACTATTGGTTTTAGCGCGCGTTGCTGGAGGAGTCAGTTCGACAGGTGGTGAAGGGCAAGCGCTTCCAGCCAGGAACGTGGCCAAGCTTTGCAAGGTGAAAAGACGCTGTGGCCTTCGTTGTGGAGGGGAGAATGAGGAACACGCCAGCGCACCATTTTTAACAAGCTCATTCATGCCAGCCAGCATGGGGTAGTAGCGCTTGTTGTCAGTTGTGCTCCTCCCCACTCTCCACTTCCTCCAAGAATTCCCGCCAGCTTATAAACCAAGCCCCCACCGTGGCCACTTACACGCCGGATTTCAAACTAAGCTGGTGCCTTCTCCAGTTTATCAATGAACTTCCACTTGCTGTGCGCAAGCAAAAGTAGGGAGGCTCTGGCTGCCTTACCGCTTTTGGGCGGTCAGGGACGAGCTGATCAGGTTCTCACTGGACAGCTCAGCGGGGGTTATCAGGTAAAGTGCAAGAAGGAGGCAAAGATTAAACTTGTCCGTTTGGGAATAACCGTCTCTACCCCAGGTCCTTGTCAATAAGACCAGCTGCGAATTGGCAACGTTGCATGAAACGTAGTCAGTTGCCCAAGGGCTAGGCCAAGTCATCTTTGACCACTTGAGGTAGGTCTTGAGGCCGCGTTGTTTGCAGCTGGCATTGTTTTACACGGGGCAACGGGCCAGTGCCGTGCTTCTAACGAGGATGAACATGCCACCTCTGGTTGCGTGGTCTTTCAGCCTGTCAATGGCCTTTCAATGTTTGCCGTGATCTTCTTGTCAGGCGCAAAAATGCAGGCAACGAGTTTTGGAGAGGAATTAAGAGACGGTGAAGAATGCAGCGACTGCTGTGACTGGCTTGGTGGCACGCGCCCGAGACCTTTGGAGACAAGGCCCAGGATCAAAGAGCCTAGACACCCAGTGACTCGCCGCGGTGAATCTGAGTAGATGCGGAACAATGTCAGGGAGATGATCCACGACGCAGCGCAGTACCAGAATGCTTGAAGCAATGTGTGTGACCAAGAGGCCCAACTCGCACAATTGACAGAGGTGCGCGGCAGGAAAAGAATAAGACGAAGTGATCGATGTGCAAAATGAGAGTTTGAGAGCGGATGCGCTGGTGGAAGAGCTGCCAGCCAGCTGAGACAAAGCAGACGCAGCGAGGCAAGGACTTTCAACTTTTCTTGCAAGCCGGTCAGAGGGCACATACATTGAGTGTGAATGCTGATCAACGCCCGGAGATCACATAGGAAAGTTGTTCATTTTGATCCGTGCCCTCATGGACTGCCCTCGTGGAATCAGGCAGCGGGGTTACATAGGGCTTGAACTGGTGAAAGTAGGAATCCACCACAACCTGTCACCCCAGCAGGTGCCACGCACAATTGAGAACATACTGTCTGGGGCATTTGAGTGGCGCGCTGCACTTTGCAGTATATAGCTTTATATATATGAGTATAGCAGCATATAGTAACTTTGAACCTTTCCAGACTCCACCTTCAGGCTGAACTTTTGGGCCTGGAAGGTGCAATCAATGTGCAGGGCGAGGTGTGTTGTTTTCGACGTGAATGAGCTTCGGTGTTTGCGAGTCCAGAGTACTTTGTTTGCGAGTTGTTTTACAGCCTTGTGAGGACCAGAAAAAGTTGGATGTCATCACAAACGATGTCTTGAAGAAGGCCTTAATGCTAGTTGCATCTTGCGGCTTGCGTTTGTCAAAGGGGTTTCCAAAAGCATTCGTGCTCCAGTCCCAGTTTCATTTTGATTCAACAGGGTGCTGACATTGCAGGCCCTCCGATACACAGGGAAGCTGGGCACGATGGCATCTGAGGAGGAAGACATGCCCGTAAGCGCGGCTTTGTCTCTGGATCTGGAGGACAGGGATAAGAACGAAAACTGGGCATGTTGTTGGAACAAATTGGTTGTGAGATAGACTTGTCATTTTTTGGATTAAGGTTGAACTGTCACAGGAAAACAAATTCAACGTTTGTTTGTCAACATTTCATTTTTTTCGGCAAGCTGAAGTGCTTTGTGGAATACAATATTTTCATGCATGTGTTTGATTTGGCGCAGACCACAGCTTCGGGCACAGTCTTATCTGACACTGGAAAGTATGCGACCTGCCTGCAAACATACTTGTTCGTCCAAACTGGGGCGAATTAACGAGACTTTGAACTTGGCTCAGGTGTGCGTGTGCGGCACTCAGCAAACTGTTCAAACTGGCAGCTAGAGGGACATGCAAAGACAAACGTGCTTTGTAGGGGTTGCTAGGATGCTCAGGATGCCCGTTTAGGCGTTTAGGTGTGTGGTTCTTTTCACAAGGTTTGACCCGCTGGATGGAAGCAGCAATGTAGATGCTGGCATTGCCGTCGGCACCATTTTTGGAATTTTCAAGGACACGATTCTGGCAGCAATCCAGCAGTAGCTATCCGTAGCATTGAGCAGCTCCAGGAAGCTTTGCGACACATATATTTGCAATTGGTGAGGAATCTGAGGAGTCCAATGCAGTTTGTGACCTTCCAGCAAACATCAAGGAGGGGGCTGGGCTCGAATATGTTGAGCTTGTGTTGCGAGCTGGTGAGGAATTCCTTTGTTTTGCACAGGATCTAGATGGTGATCAAGTATCCTGCCTTGCAGCAACTTTGCAGCCTGGCAAGGCTGTGGTGATGAGACAGACACTAGACCTTGACAAGGATCGCAATTCAGTTTTGGAACATTTCCTTGCGAGGCTCTGGTCGCTGCTGGCTATGTACTCTACAGTTGCTCCACAGAATTGGTATTCACCTTGGGAAGGCACCCAACAGCTCTACACTCGCTTATCAAAGAACACACATAGGCAGAAATTCTTGAAGGGTCAAAACTTCAAAGTGACTGTTGTATTGTCACCAGTCTTGCAGGGGTGTTGTCGGCTTCACTTTGGACAGCTCTATTGGCGAGTATGTGCTGACCCGTCCAAGCATTGAGCAACCTGGCAATGCAAGACAAGTGAGACAGTTTACAATCAGAATCCGGACGTTTGTTGTGTTCGCAAAGGATTCCAAGTCGTGGAAAAATCTATTCCTGCAATGAGGCTGGAGCGAAACAGTGAACCAAGCTTTAACAAACTATCTCGAAATAATTGACAGGCCAACATGGAAAACTGGGACGAGCCCTTCCAACAGTACATCAAAGACCTGGGCTGCTTTGTCCTGTGCAGAGACAATAGTAGTTGTGAATCGCGAACATTGAACTCTGAAAAAGTTGCTAAAACTCATGGCTATGCATGAAGAGATCGTGAATACTATTGCTCGGAGCCTTCACACACTGGTCTGCAGCATCTGGCCATGTACTGTAAGCACTCCAGACTCCGCCACAGCAACATGCCAGAGCCAAATCCAGTCAGTTTAGCTCGAGCTCTCTGCAACCTTGCGCGCTGGGATGGATGTGGCCGAAGTCTTTCAGGTCTATGCATCGCACAATGGCACCCGGGCTCAAGTGGTTTATGCACATTCACGTATTCAGCTAGTTTGGTTCTTCATAGCAATTCTACTTCCTGAGGTATGGACATCCGTGCTTTCATCAAAAGCATGAAAGATAGTGGCTTGTTGGACGAACATTTTACAAAGGCGCGTGTTTTTGGCGAAAGAAATGGCTGTCAATAGCATGCGATTTCATGAGCTCAAAAGGACCGCGTAAGTTCGGAAGGATGAAGGTGGAGTTTCATCCATGAGAACATTCCTACTAGCCATGACTTCCAACCCAACCTACTAGCGATGGCCTTCATTTCAAAGAAGGTGGAGTTTCATCCAGAGCTTCAGAGCAGTACCGCCTTGAAGGTTGATGCAGACTTAGCATTCTTCAAGTGCACTGCGCGTCACACACGGAAGATTGGCTTGGAGGACTTGTGATGAAGTTGCCATTTTGCGTGTGCTTTCCCTTGTGTGCTTGAGACAGGACTTTGTGCAGATTCTGAAGTGCATTGCCAAGTGCCTCAGCTGGAGATGGCCAAGTTAAAATCCAAATCCAAGGTGTGACTCTTGAAGTGATGTGCAGGCGCCGCTCGGTCAGTGACCAAGAAGTCTTCCAACAAGCTGCTAGTGGTGCAAGCGAAACCACGCTTGGCCGAGAGAGGTGCAGTGAGGCTGCCAGCACACTCTCATGTCTTTCCTGTTTTTGTTAGATTCCCATGAGAGGACAGCCAGCCAAGCATGACACGCACAAAACGTGAAGTGTACAAACTTGCCACTTAAGGCTCGAGTTGCAAAAGCTCATTTTGCTTCGCATGGTAGCGGAGCGTGGCCGTAAGAGCCCGCTCCGTTGCCCACGTCACCGCACCACGAACCGCCATTTGAATAAGCGGATTTCCTCGCGAGGAGCTCAGCCGGTGGCTGTGTGGCTGGTGGAGCTCCTGATCCTCAGCTGCTTGGCGGGTGGTGCTGGAGATCTGTGGCAGAAGGAGGTTTGCTACTATATCCCTCCAAGTGTGGTGGCACACTCCTCGAGGCGGAAGGTGTACCACATCCACTCGGTCGAGATCGACACCGAGGAGCACGTGGGCAAGCTACAGTGGGCTAGGAGCAGTGAGGCTGTTCGAGCCTCGTTGCTGGTGAAGAAGAAGAAGGAGAAAGGGAAGAAAGGAAGATCCAGGGAAAGGAAGCAGCTGGTTGTGATAGTCCCAGCGAGGTGGAAGTTCCTGGAGCGCATTGAGAAGGTGAGGGACCAGACGGAGAACGAGAAGATCTGTGAAGTATACCAACTTGGAGATCAAGGAAGAGTTCGAGAACGGAGAGCCCAACTTGACCACCAGGACGTACTACCCCAGTGTGGTCTACATCCAAGCAATGGCAGAAGACAGCTTGAAGATGATATCGGCAGCCCTTGAGAAGTTGACTGTGGCCCAAGAGAAGTTGACGGTGACTCAAAGCTCAAGCTCATGGGCCAGACACCTGAAGACTCCAGTTCTGTTCAAGCCCGATTCCAGGGACAATGAACTGAAGCAATGGAGCGACTGGAAGTTTTCCTTTGAGAACTACATCAAAGGGATTGACGCTCCTATGGCCTACAGCATGAAGCTCGTGGAGGAGAACCTCAATGGGAACTATGAGCTGGACGAGATGACTGATGAAACGAAGGCCCAAGCCATTCGCCTCTACAGCCTGCTGACCTCTTACCTCCGCAACAGACCACTAAAGCTGGTGCGGCACATGAAGCAGGAAAATGGATTCGAAGCCTGGCAACGACTCCTGAGAGAGATGCAGCCGGTGACGAGAGCAAGATCACTTGCACTCCTGACCCAGCTTTCACGGGTTCGGTTTGCAGAGGGCAAATCGATCTCAGAGCAGCTACCTGTGTACGAGTCCATCGTGACGGAGTACGAGAGAATCTCAGGACACACCTACTCCGATGACAACAAGGTAGCTTCGATCCTACAAGCTGTCCCAACCCACTTGAGGTCGCATCTGCATCTCTGGATCTGAGAACGAGGCCACGGAGGAAGAATGAAGGCGCTCACGGATGCAGTGGCAGCGGGTCTGGTCAGACAGTCACACCTGCGCCGGGATTGAGACCACAGCCAACAACACCTGGAATGGCAGGGACAAGTGCAACGCCCCAAGCACCAGGACTAGCGCCTGCAACACCGAGGTTGAAGAGACCAAGTGATGGAGAAGGAGAAGAGCCAGAGAGGAAGAAAGTGGATACATCAGACTCTCCAAGGAAAGGTCACGAGAAGACGAGAAGAGGGAAGCAGAAGCTGAGAGGCCAGGGACGGAAAAGAAGCAAAGGCTTGAGGATGAATCAGCTGCTATGCCATCAAGTACCACAGGGACAAGATCAAGAGATGAGGATGGTGATCAAGCAGTACCAGACTCACCAAGCAAGGTGGCTAGACTGTACCCGCCGCATTATGCTGGCATTCAGTCAATCGAGGCACATGGAGACGAGGAAGTGGGCCAAGACATGATCCCTGAGGAGGTGAACGAAGAGATGTTTGCTGGGTATGGTGGAAATGAAGACGATGAACCACCTATCGCAACAGAAGAGCATCTTCAGTTGCTGGATGAGAAGGCAAAGCAGAATGAAGTGGAACGTATGCTCAAAATGCCGGCCATGGAGAAAGCCAGTCGAGAAGAAGTGGAGGAATGCAGTGGCTACACCATCTCCACAAAGTTCGTCATCGCTTGGAAGCGCAGACTGGAGAAGGGAGGATGGTTTCGGCGAGCGCGTTTGGTCGCGAGGCAGTTCAAGCGCAGTGTAGATCTTGATCAAATGTTCGCCCCCACGTCGATCATGGTACTGCCCAAAATGCTCAATGTCTTCAAGCATTTCAGGGCGATGACCTTGGACATCAAAGACGCCTTCCTGATGGCGGACCAACCAGCAGATGAAAGAGCTTTTGTGGAACTGGATGGACAAATCTACAAGCTCATCAAATGTCTGCCCGGCCAGAGAACAGCAGCATCTCAGTGGTTCCAACTGTTTGTTGGAGCTGCAAAGAAATTTGGACTAGAGCAAGATCCAATGCAGCCCACACTGCTGATGATGCAGAAGGAAATGTACATCACAGTACATGTAGACGACGTCTTCATGGTGGGCAATGAGGCCGTGCTGAAGAACTCCGCGCAATACGCGCAGAAGAAGAAAGGATGGAACGTTGAAGTCGAAGGGCCATTCGGCATGAACGAGAAGTTCCACTATCTGAAGCGAGAATTCTGGCCTGGAAATGAAGGATGCGACATCAGGTGCGATTATAAACAATATGAAAGCCTGGCAAAGGACACCGATGTCTACAAGAAAGCGTACAGGAAGACTCCCATGGACCAGAACTTCGCCAAGAAAGATGAGAGCTCGCTGCTAGAAGGAGGAGACATCACCAAGTTTCGCAGCGTGGTGGGAAGACTGATGTATTTGTCGGGAGAGAGACCTGACGCACAATTCAGCATCCAGAGCCTGGCGAGAAGTATGGCTAAGCCGACTCAACAAGCGTGGAAGAATGCCTGGCATGTGTGCTCCTACCTCCAAGGCACTATGGGTTTTGGAGTGAGAATTGGCCTGAGGAAGAAAGGCCAATCGGTCATGGACGTCAGAGAAGAGGATGGGGTTGAAGAGAAGAAGCCCTTGATCGAGGTGGTGACCGATGCTGACTACGCAGGTAACAAGAACGACCGACGAAGCACCACATCATTCCAGATCTTCATCGATGGGAATTTGATGGAATCCAGGGTGCGGTCACAGAAAGCACTAGCCCTGTCCTCAGGAGAGTCAGAGTTTGTGGCAATTGTGGCAGGGTGCTCTGATGGAATGTTGATCCGCCACCTCTGGATGACCATGGTTGGAGAGGCATGTGGCATGAAAGTCCGCTCCGACAGTTCAGCGGCAAGAGCAATGGTGCAACGCCAGGGAATCGGTCGAGTACGACACTTGGATGCTGCACTACTATGGGTGCAGCAGAAGGAGAGTGAGAAGGTCTTCAATGTTGGAGCCATTGGCACCGCACTCAACTGTGCCGACATTGGAACAAAGAACCTGACCAGAAGCCGACTCTTTGGATTGCTGTATATGTTGAAGATGATTAGCAGCGCTGGAGAGCGCATCGGCCAGCAGGAGTTCAAAGACCTGGAACACAAGGAAAGGATGAGAAAGGCCACAAAGAAGATCATGAAGGTGAAAGACCTGCATGTGGGACTGCTGATGATCCTGTCGAGACTTGAAGAAGTGGCAGGAAAAGACCCAGAGCAAGAAGAAGAGAACTATGATTGGAGCTGGATGATTTTCATCCTATGCGCGCTATGTGGAGCCTTGAGCATCGCAGGATGGTTGCGGCGCTATATGATGGAAGGCTTCCTGGGCAAGGGCTGGCGCTATATGGTGGAGAAGGTGACGGCCATGTTCAGGAAGAGGACCCAAGAAGGAAGGGTCGAGAAGAAGAATGTGGGCAGTCAAGCCCATTGGATGGAAGATCTACGATCGTATCTGCAGGCATACGAGGAGAATGAAATCAAGACGCAGGACGAGCTGAACAAGAAAGACCCCTACATCGAGGAACTTGAGAACGGAATCAAAGAGATCCGCCTGCAGAGGCAACAAGCTCTAAAGGAGCTGGAGATTTCGGAGGCATATGGTCTGAGACTTTTGAAGCAGACCAGCCAGTACAGAGTAGCATCAAGGGGAAGTGTTATTCACTTTTGCGCCACATGCCCCCACTACAGGCAGGTGCGTGAGACCCCCCTATGTCGGTCATGCATGGCTGGAGGGACGGTGTTAGATTCCCATGAGAGGACAGCCAGCCAGGCATGACACGCGCAAAACATGAAGTGTACAAACTTGCCAAAGCGCATTTTGCTACGCAGTTTTTGTTTTTGTTTCACTGCAACAGGCAAAGCACAGCTCTGGTCCGGAACGTTTTTTTTACGATATTGCGACCTACACTGGTATCCACAGGCCTGCGCTTCTCATGGTTTGAAACATCAGCTGGACTGTAGCTCCACTACTGGAGCCTTACGACAATTAGTTTTGTCGGCTTCGTTTGCAATTTTTGCGCAGGCAAGACAAGAGCGAGCAGGAGAGACGGCGCCCTGCATCCTCCTCTCAGCCCTCCCGGGCGGTCAGGACAGCAGAATCAGACAAACACTCATTAGACAGTATTGGTATATTACTAGTCAATGTAATGTATGAACTGGAGTACCGGGTTGTGAGTGAGGGTCAGCCCGCACTGGGCTGTGGGTTCTGCAGCTTGTTTGGTTCCTGTTTTTTAGTTTTCTTTTCCGCCGCGCTAGTTTTGAGACAAGGGCAAAAAGTTTTCTCCAGGCAGCTGAGAGCTATAAAGGTTCTTACTTCTCAATGACTGGGTGGCTGATCGGAGTTTCAGTCCACCGCTGCCTCTGCTGTCTTGTCTCCTCACTCGTCTCCATACTTGTTTCCGCACTTCTCTGCCTGTGTGATTGCCGTTTCTTTGCGGTGGTGCCTTGTCTCCTTACTTGTCTCCCCATTTGTCTCCTCACTTGCCTCCACTTGTCTTCCTGTGTGAGCGGTATTTTGTCTGCCGCTGCTGCCTTGTCTCTCTACTTAGCCGCTTAGCCATACTTGTCTCCACACTTATCTCCTTGCGTGTCTTCCCACATGCACCCCTTTTGTAACAATATTCTCAAACTATATAGTCCAAAGAAAGGTTTCAGCTTGCAAGGCGGGCTCCCCCATCAAGTACTTATTGGAGTGGGCGTGAACTTGTGTGCTTTATGTACTCGCTGTGAAGACCAGGTTGGCCCTGCTAATGCCATGTCCCGAAACAGCTTCTGGGGTTTGTGCTCAGACTGCGGGCACCGGGCCTGAAGAAAAGATGTGGACTTACGTGGAGAGGTGCACGGTCACTGGAAGCTCTCATGTTTTTGTTGAGTTTCTTGACTTTTTGTTTCTAGTGCCTACTCCCTCTGTTTTTTAGAGTCAGTCGCTAATTGGGGGCGTAATTTGATGGGTTGCTTCGGGTGCGCGGTGAATGATACTTGTTCCTCACCCGGTCTAGCAATCCCCCCGTGACGCATAGCTTAGAAGACTTGTTCCAATAGTTTTGTTCCTCATCATCAAGCATGTGCTGAAGCAACCGTGAAGCCCCCGTCCCAACCAGCTTTGTTTTGAAACGACTCCTTACCCTTTCAAGTAGGACCGGCGCAAGATCAGCATCACCGCGTGGGCCAGAACGTTTCTTTTATGATCCTCGGTCTCAGTGTGCTTGATGTGGTGAACTTCATGATGAACAAATGGACATGTTGTGGTTGGAATGAGGACAAAACCACCTACACTGGTACACACCGAAATGGTGGGCCCACGGCTGCTTGGATTCATTGTTTGCTAATTACTGCTTCTTTTGCGGCTCGAAGCGCAGTTATTGTCATGGCAATAGTCTTTTGTTCTTCGACGTATTTGCAGCCTGTGTCTCCTTGCTGAAGGTGAGTGGCAACGGACTGCCCAAGGAGAGCTTCAAAGACCTCAGCGAAGTAGGTTTAAGGTGCCACCGATTGACATGCATTTTTGTGCTGCTTTGCACTGCAACAACAACCGCCTCCGCGCATGTGTGATTACGTACGTAGGTAGGTAGGTAGGTATGTGTGTATGTATGTATTTTCCCGAATGCGTAGCGAAGGGTTCTCGTTTAACTCTGGGGGTCTGGGGGTAGAGCCTTGTTCGCGACCCGTTGTTTCTATGTTCGCAACCGTCCGCAACCGTCCGCAACCGTTCGCAACCGTTCGCAACCGTTTGCAACCGTTCGCAGGTGTTCGCAGTAGAGCGCTAAGGCGCTGCCATTGGGGGAAGCTTTTGGAGAGGGTTTCGGATGGAAACGTGACGCGTCAGATTCGTGTGAAATAGCGAGGAATCGTGTGGAAATGTAAGATGTTGAAGTGTGGAGGATGATTTCACTGCGCAGGTGCAGCGTTTTGTGAGATCCGCAGTTTGTTGCGCAGTTCCATCGGGATTAGCGTTTGGAGAGTCGTGTTTTTGGCGTGTTGGATGTGGCCGTGCCATTGGGATTTGCGTTTCAGGGTGTGGCACCGAAGCTCTGCTTTCGTGACAAGTCTCAGCTGAAATGCCGATTTTGGTGGATGGGAGTGTGCTCAGAACGGGTCGAAATCATTCCAGACGTGTGGTGTGGTGCAAATTTTGTTGAAGCTCACGTGAGATGATATTGTCACTTTTTGTGGCAGGCGCAGTACTTTGTGCGGATTTTTAGGTGTGGAAGTGCGATTTTCGTGGCAGGCGCAGGGAATCGTGAGGTTGCGAGGTGTGATGGAGGTGACATTTCGTGGCAGGCGCGGTACTTTGTGCGCGTTAGACGTGTGGATGCGGAAAGATTCGTGGCAGGCGCAGGGAATTGTGAGGTCGTGAGTTGTGGTAGAGGTGAATGTCGCTGTGACATTGGGCTTGGCGTGTGAGCGGGTATTGTTTGGAGGGGCTGGACTCGCGAAACTGCTTGGCAGGGCTGCGCGATGTGTGTGGAAGTCTCGTACGAAATGCTCGTTTTTGCAGACTTTGACATGTGAGTTTTGGAGGAAGTCTCGTGCAAAACGCTCGTTTTGGAGACTTGGCACGTGACTTTTGGAGGAAGTCTCGTACGAAACGCTCGTTTTGGAGACTTGACATGTGACTTTTGGAGGCAGTCTCGAAACGCTCGTTTTGGAGACTTGACGTGTGACTTTTGGAGGAAGTCTCGTACGAAGAGTGCCCTACAAGAGTGTCCCACAAGAGTGTCCTACAAGAGTGTCCCACAAGAGTGTCCTACAAGAGTATCCCACAAGAGTTTCGTACAAGAGTGCCCCACAAGAGTGTCCCACAAGAGTGCCCCACAAGAGTGTCCTACAAGAGTGTCCCGCAAGAGTGTCCCACAAGAGTGTCGTATGAGTGTCCCACAAGAGTGTCCCACAAGAGTGTCCCGCAACAGTGTCCCACAAGAGCGTCCCGTATGAGTGTCCCACAAGAGTGTCCCACAAGAGTGTCCCGCAAAGAGTGTCCCACAAGAGTGTCCCTTAAGAGTGTCCCGCAAGAGTTTCCCACAAGAGTGTCCCACAAGAGTGTCCTACAAGAGTGTCCCACAAGAGTTTCCTACAAGAGTGTCCCACAAGAGTGTCCGACAAGGGTGGCGTCCCACAAGAGTGTCCCACAGGAGTGTCCCACAAGAGTGTCCTACAAGAGTGTCCCACAAGAGTGTCCGACAAGAGTATCCCCCAAGAGTTTCCTACAAGAGTGTCCCGCAAGAGTGTCCCACAAGAGTGTCCCACAAGAGCGTTCTACAAGAGTGTCCCACAAGAGTGTCCCGTATGAGTGTCTCACAAGAGTGTCCCACAAGAGTGTCTCACAAGTGTGTCCCACAAGAGTGTCCGTTTAGAGTGTCCCACAAGAGTGACCCACAAGAATGTCCTACAAGAGTGTCCCGTAAGAGTGTCCCACAAGGGTGTCCAGCAACCGTGTCCCACAAGAGTGTCTCACAAGAGTGTCCCTGAGGTCCCTTAAGAGTGTCCCACAAGAGTGTCCTATAAGAGTGTTCCACAAGAGTGTCCTACAAGAGTGTCCCACAAGAGTTTTTTACAAGAGTGTCCCACAAGAGTGTCCCACAAGAGTGCCCTACCAGAGTGTCCCACAAGAGTGTCCTACAAGAGTGTCCCACAAGAGTGTCCACAAGAGTATACCACAAGAGTTTCCTACAAGAGTGTCCTACAAGAATGTCCCACAAGAGTGTCCCACAAGGGTTTTAGAGTGTCCCACAAGAGTTTCCTACAAGAGTGTCCCGAAAGACTTAGTAATTGGCTGGCGTGCCCAGTTTTAAGCAGGCGCTGAGGTTTGTTGAATGTATGAGCTATGCATTGGTTGAAAGGAAGAATAAGAAGAAAAGATAAACATAAATAAAGAAGAAGAAGAAGAAGAAGAAAGAAGAAGACGAAGAACGCAGCATAGCGATACAAACAACAGAAAACCTGTAAACTGCCAAGTATCTGGGCCTGCTTCTGCTGAGTCTGACAA